CCAACACTCTCATGATCCAAAACAGAAGCATCTAAACGAGGTATATAGAATCCTGAGGTATTTAAAGGGTTCACCAGGACAAGGACTCCTATTCAAGAAATCTGGCCAAAGAAATGTCGAGATGTTTACTGATGCTGATTGGGCAGGTGATCAAGATGATAGAAAGTCCACATTTGGATACTTCACCTTTGTTTGGGGTAACTTAGTTACTTGGCTAAGTAAGAAGCAGAATGTAGTAACAAGAAGCAGTGCTGAAGCCGAATTCAGAGCTATCGCTCTTGGAATTTGTGAAGGCATATGGGTGAAACGAGTATTGGAGGAACTACAAATGGTGGTGAATCTTCCTATTAGACTTTACTTAGATAATATGGCAGCAATCAACATTTCTCATAACCCAGTTCAGCATGATCGAATGAAGCATGTAGAAATAGACAAACACTTCATAAGGGAAAAGATTGATGATGGTATAATTGATCTCAGATATATACCTTCAAGAGAACAGACAGCTGACACTCTCACAAAAGGCCTTACTAGTGATAAGTTCAAATATCTCATAGGCAAGTTGGGCATGATTAATATCTATGCTCCAACTTGAGGGAGAGTGTAGAATATAAGATAGAATCTTAGGGATTAATTGTAAATTAGATTTCGAGATATGATCGAAAGTTTTAGGAAAGATTTTATTTGATTGTGTAGGTTCCGGTTTGAGCGTGATTGAGATCGCGTAGAATCAAGCCATCATAATCGGCCTCTCATCCTCCCATTGTATATATATACTTGTTCGATTGATTTTGAATGATATAGAAGAATTCATATACATCAAAGCTGTTACCTTCCGCTACACTTACCATTGCTATGGCAGACGTACTATCACATCTTAATCTTATAGGTGTAGTTGTTGTGAATTCCAGCTCCCTTAGTACTCTCAGTATCCACGATCCTTCACATACCCCATGGGCAATGGCACGCAACTTAGCTTCTGCACTGCTCCTAGAAACATTTTGTTTCTTACTTCTCCATGTTACGAGGTTCCCCCATAACATGGTACAATACCCAGAGGTAGACCTCCTATCAAGGAGAAATCCACCATGATCAACATCTATATAAACAATTATTTGTCGAGATGTGCCTTCGGTAAAATAGAGTCCTTGTCCTGGAGTCATTTTCAGATAATGCAGAATCCTGTATACTGCATTCATATGTTCCTCTAAAGGCTCATTAGTGAATCTGCTTACAACTCCAACAGCATAGCTTATATCAGGGCGTGTATGAGAAAGATAGAGTAGTTTTCCTACCAATTTCTTATACCTTTCAACATTAACAGGTATTGGTTTCTTTTTTGGTTTTGCATCAACAGGTACCAGTTCCTTTTTCGGTTTTGCTTTCTTCTTATGGTCTTTCATTGTGGTTCCTCCATCTTCCTCATCCTCTTCTTTGCTGTCAAGTTTACAAGTAGGCTCCATTGGTGTTTCTGCGAGTTTTGCACCCAGCATTCTGGTCTCTTTCAACAAGTCTAAAGTATATTTCCTTTGTGAGACAAAGATTCCATTACGAGATCATGCCACCTCCATCCCCAAAAAATACATAAGGCTACCTAGATCTTTTACCTCACACTCTTTCTTTAGGGATCTCTTAAGCTTGGCTATTTCTTCTGTATCATCACCAATCATAATGGTATCATCAACATACACAATTAGGAAAGCTATTTTGTTACCTAAGTGTTTCACAAACAGTGTGTGACCTACCTAGCACTGAGAGAATCCCACATTCTTTACAGCCTTTGTAAATCTCTCAAACCATGCCCTAGGAGACTGTTTCAGGCCATAGAGTGATTTGTAGAGTCTACACGCTATTCCAGGAATATTATGTTCAGCCAAACCTTAAGGAACATCCATGTATACTTCTTCTAGATCTCCGTTTAGGAAGGCATTGTTCACTTCAAGTTGATGTAGTGGCCAATCCACATTTGCTACTAGAGACAAGAATATTCTGATTGTGTTTGATTTGGCAACAAGGGCAAAAGTCTCCTGATAGTCAATGCCGTAGGTCTAAGAGTATCTTTTTGCCACTAACCGGGCTTTGTAATTATTTATACTCCCATCAGGGTTGTACTTCTTTATGAACACCAACTTGCACCCTACTGTCTTCTTTCTTATAGGTAAGTTTGTGATCTTCCAACTCTGGTTTTTTCTTAGGGCCTTTAGTTCTTCCTCAATGGCTCCTTTCCAGTTGGAATCAGATATGGCATCTTGGAAGGTGGTAGGGAGCTGTTCGTTTGCTAAACGAGTCACAAAACTATGCATAGAGGGTGATAGATGATCATATGATACAAATTTACTTATAGGATGTTTAGTACAAGATCTTACCCCCTTTCTCAATGCGATAGGCCATCCAAGATCACCTAGACCTATAGTTGAGATTGATTCTTGGTACTGCTCAGTCCTAGAGGGCACTTCACTACTGTTTTGTGTAGTTCCAGCACCTGTCTCCTCTTGTTCTAAGGTATTTTAACCTGCCTCTCCATTTCCAGAGTCTGACTCCACATTGTCTTGGCCATCATTATTGGAACCTGTTTTAGGTGTGTCCAGGTCTAAATTGGGTGGTATTGGCTCAGTTTGGGGTTGATTGGTTAGAGTAGGCTCGGGTTGGGATGGAGAGGTAGGTGTAAGTTGCTCATGTGTAGATGTAGGTTACTCTTGTGTCTCATGATCAAGTAGGGAAAACTCCCATTCTTCCTCACTCTCCCCTTAAATGGGTGTTTTGGAGTAGTAGGCTTAAGTTTTATCAAAGGTTACATTCATTGAGACAAGGTATTTTTTTTGGGTTGGAGAGCAACACTTATAGCCCTTTTGGATGGAGGAATAGCCAAGAAAAATGCATTTAATCGCCTGGGGATCAAGTTTGCTGCCATGGTCATTGTGGACATAAGCTATGCAACCAAACACTCTTTCAGGGATATGGGTGAGTATATGCAAATTGGGGTAGGTTTCTGATAGAGTGTGAATTGGTGTATGGAAGTTCAATATTTTTTAGGGTAGGCAATTTATTAGGTCTGTGGCAATGAGAAGAGCCTCCCCCTAGTAGAATTTTGGCACATTATTAGTCATCATTATAGCCCGAGTAACTCTAAGAAGGTAGCAGTTCTTTCTTTCAGCTGTTCCATTTTGCTGTGGTGCGTTTACACAACTTGTTTAGTGCACATTACCATGCTGTTTAAGGCAAGTTTGGAGGTAAGTGTTCATATATTCCCTCCCATTGTCACTCCAAAGAACTTTCATGGAAGTGTCAAACTATGTTTTAATCATTTTGTGGAAGTTTATAATGATTTAAGCGAGGTCAGATTTGTCTTTCATAAGAAAAACCCATGTAATTCGTGTGTGATCATCTAGTAGTGTGACAAACCACCTAGCTTTTGTTAGAGTTGGGATACGGGCAGGACCCCAGATGTCACTATGTGCGAAAGAGAAAGGATGAGTATACTAATGTGAATGAGCCTTGTAATTGTTCTTGGTGTGTTTAGAGAGTTGGCAGATTTCACAGGGAATAGAAAAGAAATTTTTATTGATGGAATTTGGGAACAATCTGGACATATATTTAAAACTAGGATGGCCCAACCTATAGTTCCATAACAATGCTTCATTATTGGAAAGTTGAGTTGCTGAATTTTTTTTCTGCTGCATATGTCCTAGAATGAACCCAATTCTGCTCACTTGAGTAGTGGTCTCTCTTGGCTCATGATTCGCCCTCTTATCTCATCATAGGGGCATGGTAATCCGAGGAGGAACTTGTAAATCCTCTTGTTCTCTTTTATCTTGGCATATAGTTTGGCATCTGAAGTGCATGACCACTCATATGTATCATACTGGTCTAGCTGCTGCCACAGAGTAACCAAGTTAGTCCAATATTCTGTCATATTTAAATTATCTCCATTAAGTTTGTCCAGGTTTGCTTCTATTTCCAGAATTGCAGCACAATTGTTCAAGGAGGCAAACACATCCTGTGCTGCTTCCCGGACCTCTCGAGCAGACTTGAACAGGATAAAGCTAGCGCTGATCTCTGTGGTCAGTGAATTGACCAACCATGATTGAATCATCGAGTCTTCGGCCTCCCAGGTGCTGTACTTTAGGTCCTTAGAGTCCGGTTTCGCTGTCGCACCATTTAGGTACCCAAATTTGCCCTTTCCAATAACATAGAGGCGAACACCCGCTGCCCACTATAGGTAGTTCTGTCCGTTTAAGTGGTGAATAGTGATCTAAGAGGGTGTGGCATAGCTTAGCGCTTGGTGTTTCACCAGTGTTGTCGATGTATTGTGCGCCGATGGGTGTGAACCACCTTGGCCTTCACCATCCAGCCCAAAACCGAACCAGGTCATTTATACTCTGACACCATGAATAATTTTATGCCACTGCAAAGTATATTTCTTCCAGAACATAGGTACAGTATTTATAGGAATGATCCCTAGGTTTAGCAGATTCTAAGATCAGCCTATTGATTACACAATCAGCTGGAAATCAGCCCAAAATAAGTAATTTAAAATTCAAACAGATCTGCCGAGATCCTAGGAAAGAAATCAGGTAAAGATCATCTGAATTAAAAGCAATAAATGATAAACATAGACAGATCAGAGTAGCATCAACAAAAAGCATAAAGTGCATTGGTTGGAGGCAAGGGGATGTGAGAAACCATGTCTACCTATTAGTTTAAATACGGCTCCCACTATAGCTGACAGCCGGCACAGCCATAGCAGTCATCTTGCCATCAGATTTTACAGCATGAAGCATCTAAACAGCCAAGCATTCTACCATGGCTGCCGCAATTGACGATAGTATATCTAAAATATTACAAACAACATGCCACACAGCTGTAAACATCCTATCTCACACCAAAGAGATTAGTTTTACAAGTCAAGGCCCAAAATAATCCAATTCAGAATTTCAGTCCCGCTTCCAAAAGGAACTCTAAAAATGTTTAGGGCAAAAATGAATATCACTGTAACTGACCTTTATTCCAGAAGGAGTTTCCATGAAACTAAGTTTGTATGTATTGGTGCGAAAACTATGAAAGGAACAACCTTGGCCAGGTAACTGAGGAACTCCAAGATTTCCTTTCTCTGCACTGCACAAAAGTAAAAAAAAAAAAAAAATATTAAAAAAACAGCAAGAAAGGGAGTATGAAGATATTAAACCCACTCGTACGGTAAACCAGCACTAGTGACATGAGACCTTTGCTGATTTCATTAGCATACTATTCATAAAGATTCAATTTCAAAATTAGAATAAACTAAGACCTATGACAATCAAGATAATCAACTTAACAGGTCAAACATGGAGCATGCAACTGACTGTTTTATGATATACAACAGACAAGGAGGTTATAAAACTAAGGACAAAATAACATATCAATAATACTCAATAAGTATCTATTTAAGCCTGAAAATTTTTATCTTCATTTATTTCTCGAAATCAGTTAAAGATCAGAATAATAGACTTCTCTATAAAACATTAAAGAAATATTTAAAAAAACCAAGTAGAAGAAAAAGAAAGAAGTTTAATGATAGCATTGCATACTTGTAAAGGCTAATATACAGACAACATTGAGGCCGAAACATTGGCTTTAAACTAATCTAGGTGACTATGCTACCAGTTAGGAAAGCTCAAGCCTTGTTATTTACATTTGACGTTTGTCAACTTCATTCCTTTGACAATTTAATGCTTCTAAGTATTGCCATGCACTGCATTTGGAAAATTCTAAAGATCACAGGTAATCCTGTTTGAAGATTATCCTTCAAAAATTTAAACTAGTAATCCAAGAAACCTAGTGGAACATTTTGCAACATGATAATCCAAATTTCCACCAATCTTCCTTGACTAAATAAAAAATTTAACACAAATAGGATATGAATCAATCCCCCAATCCCGTCATAATGAGTTACTTGTTTCCTTGAGAAACTATGTATTTACATGAGGGAGAAAATGGCATTACAATAGACTTTTCTGGTATTTTAAAACCCAGTGATATGCATACCTAGTCGGATCCATCTTGGCAGTTAACGACTTAAGGGAGAATAGCAGACCAAACATTAATTTGTGGTCTTGTTGAGCATTCAATGTCCGAAGGGGACGATTCCACTCCCTATATAGCAAGCATACCCCATTTCTATTGAAAATATACATCATATGGGCATTGTTTCCTGCTGCCGTTGGAGCAGGTGGTGATGGACTGATTTCTGATCCCCCAAAGAATTGCATTTTCTCTCAGTAGGGATGCAAAGCAGATTAACTCAGGACCCTGTCAATCATATAAGCATAGTAACGAACAATTAGCCAGCACAAGCATCTCATGTGTATCAGAAAAAGGCAAAAACCTGCACTTCATAGAGAGCCATTATGAAAATTTACAAAACATCAATACATCATGTGCTAAGCAAGACTGTAAGTTTCACCAGTGTCCTACACTATTTTGTCCTTTCCGTTTTTACACACACCAAGCGCATTGTGTACCTTTTACATGTATCTCTTACTAGCACTACCCATACCCACTATTTCAGTTATACTTAACATATCCCATGGTACACAAAATAGCCAAACTGATACAAAAAGTAAAGAAATAGGAAAGAGAAACAGGAGAATTACAGAAGAATAGAAGACTAAGAGAAACTGAATAACTCTTAATCAATATTGCGAAACGGTGTTACAAAGAATAATAGGTACTTATTTATAAGCAAAAGCTCTAATAGATATAAATTTAAGTGAATATCCTAATATTATCTAAATATAATCAAAATATCCTAATCTATCCAAATCCTACTAATATAATTAAATCCCATCTAAATCATACTAATATCATTGAAATCCTACTTATCCTATTTCTATCATATTTATATATTTTCCTATTTATAATTATCGTTACATAACACAAACTAATTGTTAACTAACAGCACATCACTGTCATTGCACCCATTGATGAAGTAGATGGGGAGGGATTGGATGGATTAAAAGAGAATTTATGCAGGAAAATATATGGGCTCATTCTGGTAGGGAAAAGTGATGCTATTTTCCCTCCCAGGGGAATCGTAAAATGAATGCATAAAGAAAGCATCCAGAATAGTCATATATGCTCAATCATGTGGATGGAAAAGGGGATATTAACTTCGTGTGGCATCGATGGCCAATTCAGCCAGTTACTCTAACCAAATTGTGCAAAATTATTGATACAGCCTTAAATTTATTATAACTTATTCTTTAGGCCTCAGCATTACACTTGTAAATTTAACAAATTACAGAAAACATTGCACAAGAGGAATCCAATCCACAAACCTTTTAGGAAATCTCAGTAACGGGACCATGACAAAGTCAGAAGATGTAATCAACAGCACAAAGGATTAGATCCTTACATCAGCTTAGATGTAAGGCACTAAGGCACCCAACGAAGTGAAGCAAAGCACTAAGCTAGAAAAATTGTTAAAAATAAGCTGAATTAAAAGAAAAATGTGAATTTTCAACAATGTTTGATAGATGATTTGGCAAATAAAAAATAATCATTATCAAATCATAATAGTCGTCACATGCACTAAATAAGTCAATAATATCACTATTCAAGCATAAAACGTGTTTTTCCTTTAGGGTATGTTTGCACATTTAGCTGTAAAATTACCAAGTTTCCTCCATCAATTGCAGATTTGATTTGGCTAATACATGGTCTATACTTATGTTAGTCCAAAAACTATAGACAGGTCTTTGTTTTTCCTTACTGTATTGAGGTTATTAATTTATTGAATAGGGATTGTGTCTTAACACACTCTTTTAGAGATCTTATAGATGAAGCTAGGAATTTATTTTTTAGAGATTGGCGGGTTGTTTTGAACTACCCCCCTAGAGCTGAAAACTCTATGGCAGACCACCTTGCCAAGATGTCCCATAGTCTAGAAGGGAACTATTGTATCTTTGATCACGCTCCATCTTTCCCCTAGTTTTGAGATGGATGGTGATGAAGGAAACTTTTCTCTTTTTGTTGTAATTTTGTTTATTTCCTCGCTCTTGAGGTGATGATATTCAGTTTTCAGTCAAAAAAAAAAGAAGAAGAAAAAGCAATTGTTCAAGGTTAGTTAATTGTAAGAGTCAAACATGCAGCACCTCAAGCAATTAGATTGGAACCTCAATAGTACTAATAATACAACAGTATAATTGATTTGAACCTTCAAACATGCTTACAGCTTCACAGTACGTTCTCAAAATGATTGACCACAAATATCAAATGAGATAAGGAACAAAGTAGTCCAAATAGAAAGCCACGAGATTCTAATGCAAAAACAATCACTTTGAATGGTCCCCCTGGAGCAAGGAAATCATATTTAGCAAAGGATGTAGATACATAGGTAGAATCAACATTCATTATATATACTATATTGCATTTCTTATGGCGCAGATGTCGGGGTTGGCTCATTATGGAATGAATACTGTTATAATCAAGGATGTCTCAACCCAAAAGCTATTTCACTTTTCAACTATATCTTCTTTAAAGTGCAGATCGATATTCCCAAATCATGTATTGCAATTATAAACTTCAGTTTTTTTGGTTTTGTTTAGTCAGACTTCAACTTCTAATGTACTTTTATGTAATAACTTCGCCGCTTCTTGGTTTACAAGTCAAAAAATTTTAAGTCCGAATAATTGTGAGAGAAACTAGAAACAAAGATGAAACGGGAAATCTGAATCAAAGAAGAAAAGGAATAAAGCCAGAAACATGAAACCAGATGGTTGAGACATGTATGAGCAAGAACAAGGATGAAGAACATAAGAATCGATATGATCTGGGAGAGACACTCACCTGACAACAATGAAGATGGATAGAGTAAGGGAGGCGGCGGCGGCGACCGCCGGACCAGGTGGCGTCGACGACGACTGGAGGAAGAGAGGCGACGTGCCGAAGCGGGAAGGAAAGCGGCTAAACTCCGAAGTGAAATGGCAACACCCAGGAGAACGGCACCGTTTAGGGGGAAGAACGGTCCAACCCGTGAACTCACCTAAAAGGCTAAAATAATAGGTTAACCCGCTAGCAAACAATTTTTTTTTTTAATGGAAAAGATATTTTATTCAACCAAGCATTTACAAGAAAGTCATAGAAAAAAGAAAAGGGACGGGACAACAAAACAGTAAATTAACTGTGAGTAAGATTAGTACAAAAGCTGTGAGCTTTCATAGTGTGCTCGCAAAGGGCGATAACTTCATTAACTAGCTGAGAAGGATATGTGGTTTCCTGTCTGAAAATGTGGTGATTCCACGCATCCCAGAGACGCCAGCATAAGAGTCTGAAGGTTGTACACCAAGTTGGATTGCTTTTATAAGTGTGCAGATTCATTACCAACCAATTAGTGAAATTGCTCGAATTAAAGCCTTGAAGATCTTGGTCAGGCATGAGTAGTTTCCAGTAACACGTGGCTAAGTTGCACCTTCGTAACACGTGATCCAGGTCTTCTCTTGCCCTTCCACAAATTCCGCACGTGTCGTGCTCAGTCATATGACGTCTCCTCCTTTCACTATTCATAAGGAGTTTGTTGTTTATTGTCAACCATAAGAAAGTTCTGACTCTCTAAGCTCCAGGCCATTGCCAGACCAGCTTCCATTTCACATCCTCATTGTTCTCTTCATCAGATCGAAGCATTTTATAAGCTGAACTAACTGTAAAGTCACCATTTGCAGTGAACCTCCAAGTTCCTTTTTTTGGTGATCTCCTATAGATGTTTGAGGCATGGGGCTCGTTGCTATCTTATCTATCAAAAAACCAGGTAGTAGTTCATGAAATTCATCAATTCTCCAATCACCATTGCCTGTTACAAAATGCCATAGTGGAAGCTGGAGTTCCTCATCTGAAAAGGGTATATAAGCCAATTGGCGGAGTGGGCCAAGATCGCCCACCCAATGGTCAGTCCAGAAGCGTACACGTTCACCATCCCCTACATTTCATTTGATACCTAGCTTTACTTCCTCCCAGACAGCTCTCAAGTTTCTCCATAAGTAGGAGCTATTATTAGTGCGGAGTTTATCATCTGGGTTGCCCCCTCATTTATATTTTCCAGGGAGGATTTGAACCCATAAGAGATCAAGCTTGTTAACCATAGCAAAGAGGAGTTTCATTAAAAAGGCCGAATTTTGACTCTTCATGTCATGTAGACCACATCCTCCTTTTTGCTTTAGTTGACACATGTCATTCCACTTTAGTAAGGACACACTTTTATGTTGCTCTATTGTTCCCCAAATGAAGTGTCTAATCATGGCTTGCATCCTGCTACATGCCGAGAGAGGTATTCTCGTTGTTTGCATAGCGTAAAGGGGAATTATAGAGAGAGCTGACTGGGTTAAGGTGATGCGGCCTGCTAGAGAGAGCAAGTTAGCTTTCCATCCTGAGAGTTTCTTGCGCATCCTCTCCTCTATATACCGGTAAGTTTCCTTTGTGACTCTACCATGCAAAAGTGGCACACCTAAATATTTTCCAAGCTGTTCCGTTTTTTGGAATCCAAGTCTATTGCAAATTGCATTTGCCTCAGATGTAGAAACATTTTGGAGAAATATATCTGTGTTTTGACTTTGCTTACTAAATGTCTAGATGCAGCACAAAATTCCTCTAGAATTGGTGGATGAGATCTATCTGGTGGTGTTCAGTGGTGCTGAATAAAACTAAATCATCGGCAAAGAATAAGTGCAACAATAGGGGCCTATTCTTCCCCATTTAGATAGGTTGCCATTTTTTCTGTACCACTGCTACCTTAATGATCTATGAGAGACGTTCCATGCATAAGACGAATATGTAAGGGGAAAGTGGATCACCTTGTCAGATCCCCTTTTGGGTAGTGAAGGGGTTAGTAGGTGTCCCGTTCCAAAGCACTTGCATAGCCGGTCCTTTCACACAATTCATAATCACCTTAATGATGTTCACTGGTATCTTGGCATCATGTAAAGTCTCTTCTATGAAATCCTAACGTAATCTGTCAAAAGCCTTCTCTAGATCTACTTGAATCGCCGTCCACCCTTTCTTGCCTGTTTTCCTCCTCATGGAGTGTATAGCTTCTTGAGCAATGATGATGTTATCTATAATGTTCCTCCCTTGAATAAAGCTTGCTTGGTACGGGAGGGTAAGATGGTCCATTGCCGGCTTCAATCTGTTGGCAATGATCTTGGTAATCAGCTTGTAAATTGTTGTGCATAAGCTGATCGGCCTGAATTCCTTCAAGGTTTCGGGTTGCTCTACCTTCAGTATGAGGCAGATGAGTATACGATTTAGATGTGGTTCTATATCTCCACCCTCAAATATAGCCCATATTTCTTTGAAGATTGAGTCACCAACTATGTCCCAATGAGATTGAAAGAATAAAGCATGGAGTCCATCAATCCCAGGTGCTTTGAGTGGGTGCATGTCAAATAACGCTCTTTTGGTCTCTACCTTAGTAACAGGACAACCAATTAGATTAATTAATAAGTCAGAGACCGGAGGAAACATACCTTTGGTGAGGCACGGGGCACACTGATTTGGATCAATAGAGTAAAGTTGTTAAAAGTAGCCTAAAGCCATTTGACCAAGTTTCTGCTGGTCAGCCTCCCATTATTCCTTCTTGATTTTTTAGCATTGAAACCTGTTATGCCGCCGTTGTATCAGTGCTTTGGTATGGAAGTATTTAGTATTACGATCCCCATCGGTGAGCCATTGGCTTCTTGATTTTTGCATCCAAAGCACTTCTTCTTGAAGGCACATATCTTCATATTCAACAATCAGCATTTTTTCCGTATCTAACAAGTGAATTGAGAAGGGATGCCTCTTTATTGCTTTCTGGATCTCTAGTAGCTGCTCGCGTAGTTTTTCCTTGTTTGCCCTAATTGACCCAAAGACTTCCTTATTCCATTTTTTCGCAGCTTCAGTAAACGTTTCTAAATTAACATTTAGATCTTTATCCAGAGTCCAGTGTTGTCGCACAAGATCATTGAATCCTGGGTGCAGATTCCAGCAAGCCAAATAACGAAAGGGATTGGTTGGGTGGCCTAGATTCTTTTCACCTTTTATTAGAATAGGTCAGTGGTCACTCTGAATTCTTGGCAAGTGCATGACTGAGATATTGGGCTGGGCTTGGAGCCAGTTGTTGTTACACAGAGCTCTATATAAACGAACCATAAGACTCGCTCTTTTCTAAGTATATTTTGGCCCTGTAAATCCTAGATCCATTAAACCAGCCCTTTGAGTGAAAGTCCTGAAAGCTTTGCATCCCTCCCTTAAGCGTATACTCCTCCTTTTTTCTCATCAGCATTGAGTGTGGCATTGAAATCACCCACCAAAAGCCAAGCTTCATGTGCACCAATAGGGAGTTTAAGAAGATCAATCCACATTCTTTCTCGCTCATAGGATTAGGACTCCAGTAAATGGCAATGAAGAGTGTTTTACTTCGCTTATCCTTATTAACCACTGCCATGTGGATGAATTGCTTATGGTTCATGAGTACTGAAATATTAGTTCGGTCAGACCAAAAGACCCAAATACCCCCAGAAAAGCCAGTTGCTTCTACTCTATGAGAGTTGGTGTAACCAATTTTCCTGATCACTCGGTCCATCTTGGTACCAATATATGTGGTTCAACAAGAACAATAATGTCTGGTCTATATCCTTGCAGTAATGATTTGAGTACTGCATGAAATTTGCTTGAGGCTGCCCCTTGGCAATTCCATACAAGGAATGCTTTATCCATAATGAGAAAAAGTGAGTTAATGCTCCATATCGGAGTGTTCTGACTGCGTGTCTTCTTCCAAGCCATTATCCATTGCTTCCACAAAAGCTGATTCATCTTCAAAGGGAATAGTGGCTCCTAAAGCGTCAACTAGGGCCTTGGTAAGTTCCTCAGACAGAGACCCAACTTCCTCTTTGGACTTGGGCTTTAGGTGCTTCACTTTAACTGTTTGTTGGATTTTAAAACCATTCTTGGATGGGCTCTTATCTGGTGGTTTTGGTAAAAAAAATTCCTTACCTGCATTTGTTGGACCTTGGGCCTTTGAGTGCCTCGGCCCAGCAGTTTCTCTGCCATTTCCCCTATTGGTTGCGTCGTTGTTCTCATGTCAGACAAGGAGATTACCGAGTGTTTGGTTGGGTCTAGGGATGTTGGGACGTGCATTTCTTTATGAGCCGGAGAGTCAAAGACAGTGACAACTGGGGTTTTAGGTGTTGAGTTCGTCCTAGAGCCTATGCTCTTAGCGGTTTTTTTTGTGTGGTTGCCCGCTAACTTGATTGTCCACTCTTGTCATGTGGTACTTTTTGAGAAAGCAGGAGGTGGTACAGGCTTTTCTTTGACTATAGCAGGGAGGGGGTTGCCATTACGGTGAAACTTTGGGTCCTCTACAGTAGCTAAAGGATCAAATCTGCTGCCACTAGTGTCATTAGGATTGATGCTGCTTTCGGGGGCTATCTTACTATTTCTGCTACCACGCTTTCCCCAAGGTTACACCTTCATCCATTCTCCATACTTTTTGCCTTCACGCTCTTTTATTTCACGCACCTAACTTTCTATCACAGATGACCGTGGGGTGGTGCTAGTCGGAATTCCGACATGTGCTTCGGCTGTTGGTTCCCGTGTTTTCATCTGTTGCGACTTGGCTGGGCAGGATGCTTCTAGGTGTCCGTACTTCCCGTAGTGGTAGCAGATGGTAGGCAAGCCTTCATATTCTACGAATTGTGTTGCTCCGTCTAGTCTAATCATCGAAACGAGTGGCTTGGTTAAGTCAATCTTCACTGCTAGCCAGGCAAACCTCGCCTTATCCACTCCTTTAGTGTTGTAATCTATTCTCAGTACAGTCCCAATGAGTTCCCCAATAGCTTGAAGCATGCTCTTGTGGTAATAATGATATGGTAGTCCTGGCAATCTCACCCAGCCATAAACCTGCTTTTTTTCAAGGTTAAGGGGGGGAAACGTTGGTTCCCATGGATGCACCGTGAGGTAGTGGCCAAGGACCACCCATGGTCCACCCAGCATAGCATTCTGATAATCCCATTCATTGTCAAACTTGACCATGTAACAACCGTCGTCAAGTCCAGTCAGTTTGAAATTTCTAGTGGGTCTCCAGAGGCTTGCGATCTTGCTGTAGAGAATATCTTGTCGTATATAGCACTCCAGTAGTTTGACTACAATTGCAAGTCTCATACTTTGGAGCATGTAGCTCTTAACTCGTTCAGAGAAATTGATGGTTGGTATGAGGCCATCCATGTTCACTATTACATCTTTATACTCAATATTCAGTTCGTCAGAAAGGTTATTAGAGTCCATTATGACGGTTCCAGCTCCACCCATTAACTTATCTTTAAATATGGGAGTAGTTTTTCCAATCGGCTGTTGAATGTCGCTGCACATCTCTATACGAAGGGATGGCGGGGAGTTATTAGTAACTTTGTCTTCACCATCATTATCCATTTCCTCTACTTGATCATCATTGAAAAGTTGCCATTGTATATCATTGAGATTTTTGTCGCAAGCCTCATGGACAATCTCCTCAATGATGTCCATGCTTGAGGCTAACTCTTGCTTGTCACGTAATTTCACTTTCATGGTGATCTGGTTTTCCTCCATTCTTAGAGTTCATTCAGTTTTCCCCACAAGCTCCATGTTAAGGGACTTCTCCATGTTGAATATTCAATACGGTTTGTCTGCTTTCACACCTCTCTCTTTGTCCTACATAGTGTTGCTCTTTTCCTCCGTTGCAGTGGGCAACGGAGGCCGCTCTCTCACTGGGAACCGCCCTAGAGGCGGTTCGAAAGTCACGTACTATTTCCAAGAGAGAGCTTCTCTCTCTACTTTCTCTCTCTACTTTCGAACACCCCCAACTTTTTTAGAACTTTTTTTTTCCTGCTAGCAAACATTTTAACCCACATAACTTTTTAATCGGCAACTTGTATTTATTTATTTATTATTTTTTAAATTTTATTAATTATTATAATTATATTGTTATATTTTATATTCTGTCTAAAAAATTTAAAATTATAAATGTATATCATTTATTTAGCGTTTTCAATCAAGTATTTGAAAAAAGGAATAAAACAAACTTTGGTCCCTTAAGTTTATTTTTATTTTATTTTGGTCCCTCAAATTTCAAATCATAAGTTTTAGTCCCTCAAGTTTCTTTTCATTTATAATATTGGTCCCTATAATCCAATAAAAACTTAAATCGTTTTACCCCTTTAAAGAGCAAAACCTATGATTTAAAATTTGAGAGACGAAAACCAAAATAAAAGTAAATTTGAATGACCAAAAATTATATTAACCCTTAAAAAAATAAAAAATTTCATTATAATTTATTTATATCGTATAAGAAAAAAGTATTTAAAAATGAAAAAAATTAATTTAAAAAAAAAGGGGGGTTGGCCTGGCAACCTGTCAATCCACCATAACAAGTTAGGGTTAACTAAAAACTAGTCTGCCATTACACAATTCCTTCTCAACCCACATTGTATAACTATAATCCACCATTCTGCAAGTTGCTGGTTGACCCGTAGTACCACCCCTAGATACCAACTCCTCTTCCTTTTTATATTTTTTTCATAAATTTTATTTTATTTTTATTTATTTGAGTTAACTTACATTTGACATTTTAAAATATTTTTCAGTAACACTCAATATCCCAAATTAATTAATTTTTGCTATATTCAGAGCTTTTTTTTCAGTTAGTAAATGTTACTAAAAATACTTTAAGATGTTTGATACAGAAAAATTAATTTATAATATTGGATATTATAGGAACAATATTCCAAAATGCTTGATGCAACAAAAATAAATTAATTTGGAATACTAGGAATTACTGAAAAATAAAAATTAATTAATTTCATATACTGGGCATTACTAAAAAATACTTTTTGATGCTGAATGCACTAAAAGATAATTAATTTATGATACTGGGTGCTATTGGAAAAACACTTCAAATTACTAAATGCACTAAATATTAATTCGCTTAAAATACTGGTTCCTACCATAAAAATCTTTTAGAATGTTAAATATAGTAAAAATTAATTAATTTAGGATATTGAGTATTGTTGGAAAAAAAATTTCAGGAGACTAAATATAATTTAACCTGAATAAAACAAAATAAAAATAAAAATTATTTTAAAAAAAAGGGTCTCATCCCCCAAATGTTGCCGTTTAGGGTATGAGCATGCCCTGCTCAGTGATTCACTTAACATTGGCATGTGAACCCATACCCAAAAGGGAAAGAAAAAAAAGAAGGGTTTACTGTTTACAAGTTAAAAGAGCAATATTGGGATAAAAAAAGAAAGCTATAGGCAATTTTATCAGGATTTTAAGAGAAAATTTCTCTCCCTTTAAAAAAAAAAAACAATTTGGGAGGGATGAGAAAGGATTCTCCCTCCCCTCTATTTTTCTGAATCAAACAGCCTTACCTTTTCCATTCCCCTTTCCTTCCTTTCCTTCCTACAAAAAAAAATCCCAATAAAATGCTAGGTTAATTTTTTAGAATAGAAAACCTCAAGCAATAATAGACAAGGGAATATGTCTTTTTAAGTGATAATATATATTTACCTTATTCTTAAGCATCTTAGATTGGTCTAAGCTTCTAAGGCTAGATTTTTTAGCTTTCTATTTCATCTTATGAATTAATAAACTATCAATAAACTATCTCTAAAGCTTATTGCATTGACAGCTTACAAATGGTTACATACTAAAAACACTGCTCACAAACCGACCAATTCAAATTAATGTGGCATTAATGATAGAAAGCTCATACGGAGCCAATAGTAGAAATTTTGTAAAGCTGTATGCTTCTATATGTAGGTTCGCGGTTCACACACCTACATAAAGGCCTCATAACTTGTCGCATATTGGTAACGGATTAATGTATGTATTGGTTGCATGTGTAGTGTTATTATCCTTTCCACTTCCATTCATATTTAAAGTTGAAGGAACTTTTCATTTCAAGTTTTACATGCAGTAGTCACCTTATGTATTAGATGAAGTTTCGTTTCCTCATCTACTAGATATATCTCGTCTCATGTGTATTTTGCAAGGGTGGCTTAGGACTCAGATTCTGATACAATGTTCCAACTAATAGAGCAGTGTTAAATTTGTTGATCTTGGTCTTGGGGTAACGAACAAGTGGATCCATATGCAAGTAGATCATCTATTGACATGGGAAACTGTTAGTATGGTGGATGTTAGTATGGTAGGTCCATATGATGCTCCGATGGAGTTAAGTCCATTGATTTTATCCTTTTCAATAACAAGGTGATCTTTTGCATTGTTTATATAGTTGAGATTATTAGTTGTGGTTCTACTTAATTTGTTCTTTTCTTCTTCATTTTAATCAGGGTACTTGTATGCTTGGGACATTGAAGACGTCAGAAACAATAGAGCTTTTTAGTTGGACAATTGTTGAGGCTTTGACTTGGTGGTTTAGCATACATGAGTGCTATCACTTGAAGTTTGAACATTGTTCTTTAATATTTGAGTCATAGAGAGCACTACTAAGATATCTATTAAATGTGAAGCCTATATGGGATATATCATCGAGTATGATTGAATATGATGGCTTTATAGGTAAGCTTAGCATTTACTTCATTTTCACCTACATTTTGAAGGCTTAGTTTTCTTTTAATGTTATGATGAGTTTTCTTTTGATGTTATGATGTTATCATATAAATGTATGTGGCTTTATCAAATATGCTTCTTCGATTCATGTGATGAAGTATATGGGATTCTATGAGAAGGAGCTTGTCATCACACTTGAGACATATAAGAAGAGTTATACATGGTGCATCTATACATGTTAGTTTGGTTTTTTGTTCTGTAACAACCATCTCAAAGTGATTTCCCATGTTCTAAATAGGGTTAAAGACCAAGTGAAGTGTCTACTATGTAGGAGGTGGGTGGAGGAGGTAAAGAAGCATTATAAGTCCCTTGAATCAAAGTTGAATGTAACATCCTGAGTTTTATCAGGGGTTTTAATAGCCTCTTTTTGGTTGATTTTGAGGATAGATTAGTGATTTAATGTTGATCTTGGTGTTTGGTTGGAATTAAGGTATGTTGGAGGAATATGTGAACAGACCCCTCTCAGACTTCATCGCGACGAATCGGGAGTTCCAGGGAGGAGTGTCTTTTCAGGAAGGTTTGGCTGCGGTGAAATCAGAGTGACGCTGTGGCAAAGTTGTTCAGGTGAGCGAGGTTTCCCTCTCGGGAAGGTCTCGCCGCAGCGAAGTTAGGGGTATGTCGCGGCGAAAGTTTTCTGGGCGAGCGAGACTTTCCTCTCGGGAAGCTTTCACCACGGCGAAGTCAGGTTTTTAGGCGAGTAATCCCTCTCAGGATTAGTTCACCGCAGCGAAGTTGTGGGTTCTGGTTGTGCGAAAATTATATAGTCGCGGGAGGGGTCTGGTTCTGCGAAAATTAGAAAATCTGAAGCAAGAGAGAGAAGCTCTGCTAGGGTTTCGGTGTTGTGGCTAGGGAAAGGTGTTTCTAAGGATCCATTATCTCAAGTAAGTGATTTTAACCTCTAATCTACTTTCTTTCTTAGAATTTCTGAGGATTTATGGTGAAACCCTAGAGTTTTCTAGGTTGTTATGGAATTGAGGTTTTTGACCGATTATTTTGAGTTTAATTGATTGCTTTGGGTTAGTTTAAGTATTTAATTGGTGTAGTTCTCTTGGATTTGAAGAACTTTGAGTTTTTGAAGTTAGGGTTTATGGAAATGGGAGGTTTGTGATTGAGGATGATAATGTGGAGATTGATTTTGAGTTTTGTGATTTGGGTTATGTTAAGGAGGGTTAAATTAGATGTTTAATCGGTTTAGAATGTTGTTAAGACTTCTATTGTTCAAATGGGATGTTTGGGTGTTGGATTCCTGTAGTGGGTCCTTGAGGTTATGAATTTTAATTGATGTTTGGAAAGGAATTAAGGTTTTAATGGATTTTTATGACCTTGGAGTGTTGCCTTGGTGGTTATACCCTTTTGAGTTAGGTAGAGTTTAGTTGAAGTTAGGAATTTTGTGTCTCCAAATGTTGTTTTGGCCACATTATTAGTTGAAAGCTAATACATGATGGTTGTGTGCTTGTGTAGACCGGTTGTGAGCATTGTTGGTGCACGGGGCCGTATTGTTGGTTTGTTATTCCTTACTCAGGCGAGAGGTAACCACTTTCCAATCCTTTGTACATGCTTTTGTGGTATTGTGAGTGGATTTATGTTTTGTGCTCAGTGTAACAAATTGTGTTCAGATTGTATGTTGTATATTGAAAAGGAAAACCATCTTGTGGGGTTTCAATTGATATTGAATGAATTTGGAACTTGTGAAGGATAGGCCACTGAAAGAAGTTAATTGTGAAATGATTATTTACTCTTTGATTACGGTTTGAGCATAATGCATGAATTGGGAATTGGTGAGAGTTTTGATTGTTACTACCACGTTGTAAGGCCTTCATTAATGCATGATGGTTGGCTCTTTACGTCCCCCATAGTGAGGGATAGGCCTTTTGGCTCCTTACGTCCCCCATAGTGAGGGATAGGCCGGGTTCGGCTCTTGAAAATCCCCAAAGTGAGGGATATGGTTGATGGATTGCATCATTGCACTTGTATGA